ATCTTGATAGGACTCTAATTTTTTCGCTAATTCTGGTTCAAGAAACGAAAACATCAATGACGGTGAGGAAAGCAGGAATAGCGTGGCAAATGCGATTGTATGATCGACAAGAGGCATCTCCGGTTCTTCGGATTGAATGGATTGATGGTGGATGGAACGAACTATCGTATATAATGGTGATTTTGAGATGTTATTTAGAAGGGTGCCAAGATAATCGTTCTCAGCCGAAAGGTTGTCGGTATCAGTTAACATGTAACGTCTGAGTGATTGCAAGGATGGGTTTTCTAAAACAATCCTTGCCACTTCCTCTAGAGTTTTGGGACGTTTTGTTTGAAATTGACTTGGAATTTCTTGACAAAAAGTTTTGCCCAGTGTCGTCCAATTGACCATCACATTGTCTCCGTTTTCTTCACGTGAGAGCTCACACAGGCGGATTGCTTGGCGGCGGGGACTGGATGATAAGATGAAGTAGCCACGAGGTAGATTTGTTACTTTGTCCAGGGGTTGCATTGCGTCGAACAACAAGTCGACTGATGCAAAATACGGTGGATACTTGAACCTATACGTACGTATATACAGTATGTAAAGATTCACTTAACAACAACGATTTTTTTTGTTCTTCTCGCTAACCACAGTCGTCGAATGTGTATGTTTGTTTACCTCGCGACGTCAAGCACAAGCGCCATATTCCTCTCGATATTGTATGCTCCGATAGGAGAGAAATGACCATCTCCGGTTTGCTGCAATGACTGCCTCGAGAACGAGATTACCATAAAGGTGTCCGAGCTAGAGCAAACTTTCTTCAGATCTTCAATGAACTCCTCTTTTGTTATATGATCAGCGCGTTTAACAATAACGTCACAATGACATTTCGCTAAGCACGCGAATTGAGAAAAGGTGGTACCGTTTTTCTTAACCTCTTCAATGGGAGAACAGCAACTTACAAGTTCGTCGGACCACCACCGCCAAGGACCTTTCCATACCGGTGCGCCTTTGACCTGTAATGCATTAAGAACTAACGATAAAGAGCTTAATCCGCAATACGAAGGTTCCATCTGATGGGAGAAACAACTGGAAAGGTTGAAATAACCTTCCGCGTAACCTTGGTTTAAAGATTCCTTGAATAATTCTTTCCCAACAGGCGAATTGATTTTTATCAGAAAATCTGGCAACTCTCGACCTTGAAAGGTGAGAGGTTCTGGAGGCAAGGCATTATCCTCCTTAATTCGTGCCGAGAAGGAAGGGATGCGAAGAGATTCGCGTGACGGTTGAGATAGGATCAATTGTGCAAATGAAGAGGAAAATTGTCGACTTTTAGAAATGGGAATACGAGAACCAGTCCGAACAACAAACAACCTTAACATCAGTAAAAAAGTTTGAGATCGTACAACTTGCTTTAGAGACATCGCTGGCGAATTTCAACGATATGATCCAGCCAATTTAACGAGCTCTTCACGATGTAATGCGTGACGGATTAACCAAGAAAAAAAAAAAAAGCCTGCACACACATTCACACGTGATTTCGAGCATTCAGTGTACCACCTGACATTAGTAGCAAAGATCGTCGGGATGCACGGGCTTTTCGCGTGTAACATTCAGATGTTCTCTCTTGCCATAAAGACATCGAAATTTCCAAATATTTGCGTATGTGTGTAGATACATTCGGTCCGTGACTAACCGAAGAGATTAACTAGTGACCGTAAGCCCTTCCAATTCACCTTTCACTTCAGTTTGCAAGCCATCCATCTCATTTAAGGCAAGCAACTCTGCGTGAAACATACTGCATTTAGATAGTTGATATTGTTTTTCGATTGTAGAAAGTGATGCATTTCTCACGATCTGTATTGATTCAAGAGCAAGAAAGAAGATTGAATGTCGCCGGGATGATGTTTAATTATGCGTGTAAATCCTTTTATAAAATAATCGCCGTAAATCTTCACCAACCATATGAAGAAGTCATGGCGTAATAATTGGTCGATTTATCATGGTTGCTTGTTCAAGAATAGTTACGCAAGCATCGACCAAAGTTGCCGTCCATCTTAATCATTTTAATTGCCGACAGGTGGGTCCTTCCGAAAAGGGTCAAGGTAACAAGATATTTGATGGTCATTTGCAAGGTTCCCCGCGTTACAAGGATCAACTGTAAATATTAAATTTGCCCATAATCGTGTGACACGCAGTCGAGTGTTTCCATGCAACGACCAACTCTGGCTGGGAGCTGTCGTAAGCCATCACTAATTTGATGGTTCCCTAATTTGTGTTAATACCTGTTCATATCCTTATTTCAGAAAAATGCAAGAACTACCATAAATATACTCATTTATGGTAACGACGTAAAGGTAAAACACCGAACTGTTTCCGAATTACCTCATTGTTTTTCGTGCACATCCAATTAAAAAAACGGTGGCTAGAGTCCGCTATTCGTTTACCCGTTGGGTTTATCCATTCACTATCCTCTCTTTTCGTACTCTTTTTCGGCAAAAATCCTTGGGAATAAGAATTATCGGTTGTAGAGAGAAAAGAAATGGCGATAGCTGAGGAACTCTTGAAAGAAAAGAAATTCCCCAAGTCATTATTGGAGAATGTTAAAATTCGAGAATTTATGAGTAAAGATAGTGAAGATGTTCAGCGAATTTATGCGAATTCAATGTTAAGGTAATTGTTCTTTGAATGTAATGCTTTTTGTCATCACTTGCAGCATCTTCAATTTAACTTAACTTTCCTTCCTTCCTTCCTTCCTTCCTTTCTTTCTTTCTTTCTTTGTTCTCTTTCTTTTCTTTTCTTATACCGCGCATATCGCCTTTTTGGTCAATAGCAATGTTTCTTATGCCCTCAGCTCGACCATGCAGCATCGTCACATCCTGTGTCTGTGGATTGGACTGACTTATTTCACCGTAAAAAATCATACCGCCTCTCACATAACACTAATGCTACTCGTATTCATCGGATGGGGTGTTTTCCTGTACATGAATGCTAGTCGATTCATAACCAACTCGATTTCCTATGAAGCCCGGCAAGGAATTCACAACGAATTGTCGCGAATTCAAGAAAACTATGGCAAAGTAAAGTCAGAAAAGCAACACAAAAGTCATTCACATTCACCCGCCTTTGATTCGGACGAATCACCTCCGTCCGATGAGAAAATCTCGAGATTCTGGGTGGCGGTTGATAAAAGATCAGGGAATCGCGTGATTGGGTTCTTGGCGTTGAAGGACGAGGAAATAAGACGAAGAAAAGTCCTAGAACATGAACCGCAAATAAGATACCTGTGTGTGGACACAAATTACATGAGACGGGGCGTGGCCACCTTGTTGATAGAGCACGCCATTAAATTTGCCCACAAGAAGCAAGTGGCTAGGATTGGTGTGACAATATCCACATGGTATGAACCGGCGAAAGAATTATTTTACCGATTTGGATTCGTGGAGATTATGCGTGAAGCAATGACTCTGGGATTCAACGAGAAGGTGAAGCTTTCTCTGGATGTGGAATCATGGAATAGATACCGTAAAGCTCGAAAATCGGCGTACCGCTAAATTTAAAAAAAGATGATTGTGAAAAAAAGTTGGTTGTTAAATTATTGTTGGCTATGTCTTTGAACTTTCGACCTCGAATTCCAGCGAAGAATGTCATACGAATTCGACATTAACCGTGTTCCCTGATTCCATCGTCATATTTTCAATTAATTCACTGTGTAAAGATGTAATAAATAAATTTTTTAAATTTTATTTATTCTAATAGTGTAAATTAATTAAAAATTTTCTCCACATGATTTAACTTGAAATGCTTTATTGCAAATTGTTGATTCTATATTAAAATATCTGAAATTTTATCAATAAATTTAAAAATTTTAATATATTACAGCATAATAAGAAATCCACATAGAAATCCAAGTATAAAGAAATGATATATTATTTTTACAATATCTAAAAAATAAAAAATAAATCATTAATATTAATTTATTTATTCCTAATAATGTAAAAATGCTCCCATAACCTAAAGTCTTGAGGAAACATAATTCACTTTTGGTTATAAAACTTTTGATTATAGGACATAATATTAGACTTTAAAGATCCATCATTACTTATATCATTTAGAAAATGAAGCAAAACAGTTAATTGGCCACTTTGGACAAGGATCAAAAATCCAATTAAAAAAAAAATCTTATTTTAACACTGAAAAAAATCCATATACATAAAGAAGATTATTTTAACAATATAATAGATATACTAACAAAATTAGTTAGAAAAAAAAATTCAATAGAATGATAGCATATATCAGAAATGGATATAGTCTTCTTTATAGCTACATGAAAAGATCTGGTTATTGACATTGATATCTAGAAGTTCATTAAAGGATAGAATCAAAGAAAGATCAGTTTTGATTGAAATAATCAAAGATGAATTCAAAATATATGGAGTAAAAAAGAAATCAAGATAAACTAAACAATCTTTTAGAACCAGATTAATATACAGTATATCATATATTGTATATATCCTTCAAGAATAATAAGAACAAAAGTTTTTTGGTAAATCTCACTTATGATAAGCTTCATATATTAAAAATATGCAAAAAATAAAAACCAGAAGTTTATAAAATAATTACTTATATTAAGAATAGGACTTATGAAGAGACAACTAATTACTTGTTTTTATATTCAGCAATAAGTTTCAAAAGATTGGATATCTAGAAAAAAGCAAGTAGGAAGTTGGTTCAATATATTATTGATTAAATGGAAATCAAAGATGAAAATCAAGAAGTTATATATTAACTAGTTGATATATTGTTCAATGAGATATAGCAATAGAAATAGAACCTTTTTAAAATAATATATGGATATATATATAAATATAAAATATGAGATATTGAAGACTTCCTCAAATTACACTACAAGATAAAACCACTTATCACAAGAAAAACTATAAGAAGATTATACCAACAAATATAAAAAAATTTGGAATAAATGCTGTAAAGCAATAATTAAGTGAAAAAAATTTTTGGATATTGATATGAGATTTAAATAATATTAAGTTTTGAAGAACAAGTTTGAAAATATAGAAAATTCAAAAGAAGAGAATAGTCCTCTATCAAAAAAAATCTTACTTGAAGAATAACTCAAAAGTATAAATTTTAAGAATATTGTTGAAAGATAGATAATAAAATAAAGAAAAGTGGTTAGATATTTGATCTGCCATTTAAAATTTTAGATAATTTATAGTAATGATCTATAAGCAATAAACTTGATAGTTAAAGAATAATCCAAGTTATTAAGATAACAAAATATCATTTTCTAAATTGTATTTAGAGAAGTTAAACTTTTAAGATAAGTGAGCTATCATATAAATTACATAGTAATTTTAAAATATGCAATAAAGATAAACCATATCAGCCTAATAACAGGTCAAAAAAAATTTTTTTACCCAAATAGAACTTAACAAGTAGTAGTAAAATAGACTATATAAAAATATTATATAGTTTAACAAAAGAAAAAATCAAGTAGATAAACTAAAGAAAATATTTAATAACTATTATAAAAGACAACTTTTAACAAGATTTCAATTAAAAAATTATATTATCTAAAAAAAAAAATTATAAATATAGTTTTGAGTTTATTAATTACAAAAAAAATCCCATACATCAGGAAATTTTTTTGATGGAGATCTCCGTCTATTAAAATTTTTTCAGAATTTTTGAAAAATTCTCTAAAAAACTTTAAAATTTTCAAAAATTTATAAAATAAAAATAATTTCATTAATTTTAATAATAAAAAACTTTAAATATTTTTTATTTTAGAAATATTCAAAGTAATAATATG